CTATTGATTTTAAATTGAATTTGTTCCACATTGATTCCTTAATTTCCTTGTTACCTTGTAGACTATATATATATTATAAAGGCGGCAAGAGTAAAACATGTAACCATTCGTTAAAGTTAGTGACTGTTGAAGCGAGCCATGTTAGTAGATGCAGACTAACTGGTTAGGGTTCCTTTCTATTACTGTAACCAATAGTCGGAAACTATGTGACATGTCTCCGGATTGTTCATAATGGCTAAGATGCATTCACGTTTTGCATTTCCTAAGATCTTGAATTCTTAATCATTCCATACATTTTGCTCTGCGAATTTATTCATTCTTCTGGAATCATATCGTCTGTTCCAAATGTTTTCTACTAATACATACAATATTACTACTTTTAGTACTCTAGAATTTTTCCTGATAATTTCTCTTCTATGTGCTGATATGTTGTGACAACTTGAGTCCCTCCACAAATATGCTAGGTTCTACGTTGCACATAACTGACTGAAGTAAGCCCTGTATAGATTTGCATTGATATTCTAGTTATAGTTAATGTCTAACAAAGTGATTATTTCCTATCATTCTCAAATATGTTTTTTCTTAAATTAAATGTTATTTATTACTGTTTTAGCGACCTCGTGCATTTCATTACACCAGATACTATGACAGAACACGAGGATAAGAAAAGCCGAAAAATTCCGCCAAATTATCTTGGTAAGGAAAATCTTGCTATATTAGTAGAAAAATAGTTTTTGGTGCGTTTATAGGTATATCAGGTCTGTCTTTAATGGCAGGATTCACATATAGAATATCATCTTTCAAGAAGGTCAATCCATTACCATTCATGCAAGTAAGATTTTTTCTTATTTTTCTCAAAATTTTCGATAGTTTACCTTGAAGTTATTTCGCTGTCTTATGGTTTTTATCACACACTACGGTTGTCCATTCCTATAGTTTATTCAGATATGAATACTATCAATCTCTGATCATTCCTACTGGCCTGTGTTTTGTGAACTTTTGAACTGGTTCAATAAAGATGAGTGATGTTAAAGAATAGAATTATGAAATGACATTAAGATCGAGATTTTTAAAAAGTCGAGTTAGTGTATCTTTCTAATTACAATTGACTTTAATCTATTTGATAAAAGTTAGGAATAAACAATATCATGTCTCTTAACTAATGGACCATACCATGACTACCATTTGCTATTTTATCAAGTTATTTTTATGATAAGTCTCGTTACATTCACGTAGCTTTATCGTTTAACGGATCATCATTTTATATACTACATTCACTTGATAAATATTCATGGAGTGCTGCAGTCTCGTGATAAACCTATCTTTTTTCTGCCTACATAACTCATATTTAAGTTTGAAGTATTAGTCATCGTATCACATGTTGAAAAGAACAAAAGATGTGCATTTTCCTAGCTGTTATGTTTGGTAGATTTTAGTGGTCCAAGATCTCACTCCATTCGGATCATATGAATGATTGTTATTGAAATATACATGTCACCAATCCTCGTATATAATTATAAACTTAACTCACGCCAGTAAATAACGGGATTAAAACAAGTCAAATACAAGAATGAATTTCGAATACGTGTATTCATACAATCGTTGATCAAATAAAACGATCGGTGAAACGAAGCGAAACAGATTGGAGAAGGCAATTGAGCCAACTCGATTTAACCAATCGTGAATGCATACTTATACTCAGATAAAAATAAGTTCCGTAGATGCGATGAGTAAAATAAGAAATGTACACATACACTTACATAGAAATGGAAAAGATTGATAACTGAATAATTGACAAGGTCAAAATGTGACTCAAGACGAATGAATAAGTTGCTTGTCCGGAAGCTAGAATAAGCTATGTGGGCTTGGATAGCAAAACACAAGAGCATCAAGTTGATTTGGAATATTGTTTTAGTATATCTGGGTCAGCGGAACCGTTCTATAAAGCGATTCTTCTGCATTGATATATAGCTGGGTTAATCTTGATAGCTTCAGTGCCGAATTTATTCAACCCATTTCATGCCGAAACCACGTGGTACATACATAAATCTAACGGGTGAACTGGTCCTGAACCACTAAACTGATTTGATATCACTTGGCGTACAAACTATAAAATTCATTATTGCTTATGTGAATAACAATATATCGCTGCAAATGTCCAAGCTATCAAGCCTACTTTCAAAAGTTCACCAATTCTTCAACCTAATTTTAATGTTATGTCATTTTTCTCAATTATACTGTTCACAGGCAATCAATCAGGACAAAACTATGCGCGAATCTGGTATACATTTTGCTGCTCGTGCTCTTGGAGTAGCAACAATTATAACTACCTCATCACTGGGAGCACTGTCTTTATGTACGTGGTACATTATAAACCCAGTGGTTAGAAACGACTTTAATGGACGTATACGAAATGTATTCCCTTATAGATGGAAGATAAAATCATCAGATTATAGTTCTGAAATTAGAACTTTCGAAGAGCTTTCATCCTCAATAAATGATTCTGTAAAAAACAAATGACGAATAATCATTACTCCCGTCTGCAACTTATTATTCTAGTTGTCTGCATGAAATGAGTGTTTTGATCCTAGTATTTCTATGTCGTTAGGCTGTAATTTCGTAAGGTCTCTGGATAAAATTTCAGTGAGTTCTACTGAACGATTTCTGGCATCCTTCAGAAAGCTATACGCTCAGGTGTAATTATGATGGGTGGCCTCAACGCTCATGCTCCGATTTGTGTTTTACTCCGTTGATATTGACTGTCAAATGCAACCATTTATTCTCAACAGGCAATGTTTTTAAAAATGGGATGCTGACCGTCCTCAGAAATCTCGATATTAATTAGACGATAGAAATAAGGCTCTTACCCTTCTCGGTCATCGTTTGGGGAGGTTGGTGGGAAATTACGACTATTTCTGTTGTACATATCTGGATCTCGAGCTTCAGTTTGAGCGCGCACTCATTCGCAACTTACTAAATGCAGAAAAACTAACAAGATAACCCCTCATAATTTGGCTCGTAAGTGTTTATCTCAGTAAAGGAAGAACTAGCTTAAGCAACTAGCTGACCAAAAAATGGATGTTCATTATGTGCTGATCTAGTATGATTTGGTTTTTGCTGGAAAGACGGTAGCGACTTCTATAAGCAACCTAAACGAAAAGGTTAGGGGAAGCCAGCAGATCTCGGAAACTTATCACGATAAAAAGCAAAGAGCAACTGATAGTCTATTCAGTTATTACAAAAGTGAGAGATGGAAAAGGAAAATAGTATTGGTGACCCAAAAAAGTTCAACTTCAAGTAAACAGTTTAAAGTGGAATGTTGGCGGGGGAAGTTGTGACAAAATCTTCTCATCCCCTAATGAACTCGCATCGGATCTCATTTGTTAAATCTAAAGAAGTATGATTGCTTTTAAATGTGAACTTATATGTTCCGCATCCAAGCAACTAGTCAGTAAATATCTTTAGAAGGGTTTTAATGGAAATACTTTGCGTACCTAAAGGAGACGTGAGAATAAGAAAGTTATCAGGTGTAGGAAGGATTTGATCATGACCAACTTGGTCTCGTGTGTTGTTACGGGTATGAGGGCTGATGTCACTTTCTGGCTGCCCACACCGTGGAAGGGTATTTCTTGAGGAACCTGAAAAGGAAATTGGATTAGTGTTGGTTTTAACGACCCGGGAGCGTGACCACAGAGCCCAAGGGACAACTGCTTGAAGCCGGTCACGCACGGTCTTTTTGTGGGGAGTTTTTAACGTTTTAGCTCCGTTCTTCAAAAGGCCTTGTCACAGGAGGCGGAAATCCGTGAGGTAATGTATGACATTCTTCGGGTCGACCTTTTCTAACCCTCCCTTCCTTGTCAGAAGGCAGTATCGCTGCAGACGCTGGTTGTCCGAAGAAAACACCTTACTGCTGTCACACCCCTCTACAGTCAGGAGTACGACTTCGCCCTCAGACCTTGAGTTGCTGCTTTTTGTCATACTGTTTTCCAACCGACCTGCCTGGCATGGTAGAACCTACAGGAACATATGTTCCAGCCAGTATAGCTCGGCTGACTCATCACGATAGGCAAGCTCGATCAACACGTCAAAGTAGCAGCTACGGTCGGGTGCTCTGTGATAAAAAAACACCATAATGTTTAGGCTTAGTTGCATGGATGGTAGGTTTACCTTTTACTATGTAGGCAACACTGGAAAGATCTTAATTCCAAATTTTGAATTTAATTATTCTAAGTGACTTGTTCGGTTGAAAGATAAAATTCAGCACATGAGGACCAGCTCGAATGTGGTAATTCGTACCAGATCAGTGCTTATGTGATAGCAATAACTGTCCTTCCTATTCAGTGAATACCTTTTCCCACTAAAAGCCCTCCGCAAATACGACTGTCCGCCTAACACTTACGTGATAACTGCATTTAGACCAATTACAGGAATATCCGTAGCTAAGACAAACTTATCGGTTGATGATTATAGTCTCATGAGAACCTTTTAATTAAGAAATTTCAATGTTTTAATAGTAAGGTGTTTTTATGGACCCACTCCTTTACGAAATTATTTGAAACCTAAAAAAGGATGGAAATAAATTAAATACTCCTATGGATAAATGTTCAGCATAATTGACATATGTGAGAATTAATGGTACCACCGTGCTGTTTAGTTTTAAATGCATTGTTGTCAGAACCTTCAAGCTAACAGGTGAAAGTATGGATACTTTAGCAGTCCAGCTACTGTCTCACGTCTGAATTGATAAGATATCCGCGCTATATTCCGCAATGATTCTTTAACACTAAAAAAACTATCAACTGTACTTCACTTTACCTCAGTCAATTTAGTCTTCTTAACCATATTACTTTTAAGTTGTCTGGAATATATGCAGTGCTACACTAAGTTTGCGTATATGACATCATTTAACAAAGTACCTACTTAAGGTTTAGTTTTCTTCATCAGCCTCATACATTTAGTTTTGATCGTTGGTTATTTACGAAAAGTAAAAATGACTGAACTGTTTGAAAATAATTAGGTAAATTATTCTTTAAAATATCGGTGAGCTGTACAAGTGATTTCTAGTGAGATAAATACAATTATAAATTAGGGTTTTTGTCTTTTTCACTTTGCATAGCAGAATATGCATTGTAATCGATATGGCTGGATGAACTGAAACCAAGACCGGCGCCTCGCTGAGTATGTGTTATGGTACGAGACATCTCATATTCGTGTTCAAGTCGCCGGAAAAGTTCAGCTTGCGCTTCAGCTCGACGCAAAGCTTCAGTTTCATTGACATGAGCAGCACTTCCGTCCACGACTTCTTCAGAAGAATCATGAATTCCCATCAATTTCCGAAATTTAGCTGCAGCTGCAGAATCACCTTTTCCAGCAATTAGAGATGTGGCTGTCCAAAGAGTTTTACTTTCCTAGGTTAAAAATAAAGATTTTGTAGTTCGCAATGAACATTTAGGATTTAGTCAACACACCAAAAAAGAACCTTATTTTCCAAAATAGACTATTACTTACAGAACTAGTGTTTTCACCATCTTTTTTGGACCACAATAGTTTGCGCTTTTGTTGTTGCTCCGCGAGTTTAACGGCGTTGACAGTGGTTGGGTTGTAGTATTTCGGGAGCTTCGCGGCGGCGGCAGCGGCTAATGCTTGAGCCTTGGCTTGCTCTTGTTGATGCTTTTGTATTTTGTCTAATATATCTTGTGCTGTTAACCGCTGCACAGGAACATTCGTCGTAGTACCTGGACGAAAAAGCACTCAGGTAATTAATTTTGGAAGAATAGCATCTTATGAAATACTAGTGATCAAGTTTATAAAATCTTAATGACTTCGTAAAATCTTTGACTTCAGTTAGCTTTGTTTTTTGACATGTGTGACGTGATATTGAAACTCTACGGTGTTTGTCAAATGGATATATTGAACAAAATGAACAAACATTTAGCACGATATACAAAGAACTGTCATTTCATATTGACCTACTACATATATATTGATTTCAGTTTGACTATATTCATAAACCTGCAATTAGAGACTTGACGTTTTACCATTCTTGGTTTTGAAAGAATTATGCTACTCAATTGTCCGCATTTGCTCTGTCCAATGATGAAAATTTTATTTGCAATATCACACTACGGCGGAGTAATATCTACGGTGAATATCACATTTTTACGATAGCTTCAGAGTTGAAAAATAATATGGTAAATCTGTCACTAGACGAGTTTTAAAAAGTAAAGTACATCATAAAATGATATTCTGCTGTGAGGTTCTAATCATATCGGGAAATAAGATTATTTAGTGAGTACATTGTGTTTGCTTTAGACGTCTAATGAACATGCCATGATTCCTTACTTTTATGTTGAGCTGAAATCTCTTAATCCTCGTACAACTAGTTACCCCAGAAGTGTTTCCTTGTTTTAGTCTTTTTTATATCTATTAACATTTTCCTCAGTGGCTAATGAATTGTATTCTAAAATCTAATTTTATGATCTGAAATACTGATAGGTTAAGACAGTAAGATTCGTACTTTGACTAGAAACTGCCGGAGAATTTGTCGTCACGGTGACTCCCGTCGTTGAGATAATGAGGTTAGTGTTCTGGTTTTCTGGCTTCGGTTGCGAAGTCTGAAAGAGATTATGGAAAGCAGATGATAAATTGACATAAGATAAAAAAAAGAACGAATGTAGAGAAGCTGATATTTTGTGCGTTGTCCATAAAATGAAACAACTAGTAACTACAAACAATTAGTTTCAATTCAAGTCTTGAAACTCGAGCTTCACTTAACAGCACAAAAACAATAACTATGCTAGGGATTACAATTGGTAAAAATAAAGTTTACTGGATATTAAATTAAAGTACCCAAAGAAGATTTCTTGAAGATAATACATGACAGACTTACGAAATAATCATTGGAACTTGTTGTGAGGAGTTGTGTTGAATTTCTACCATTATGACTTCCACGCCGACTAGGTTTGCTTTCAGGGCTAGTATCACTAGATGAACTGGTAGATGAAGTTGAACTGTGACGTCGATGCTTTCGGCGATAACGATGTTTATAGTCACTACAGTGGGAATCACGGTGATGATGCTTTCTGGATGAATGTTTGTGCCTCGAATGGTGGGATGAACGTTTGTGTTTTGAAGAGCTCACACGTTCACTTGGACTTCCGCGATCAGATCTGAACCAATTAAACATCAGAATAGAATTTACGAAAGTATGAGGTTCACAAAAATAAAAAGACAATAATATAGGTCAACTATTAAAAGATCTGTTGTCTCATAAATCGTCCCATTCAGTGATTAAGTAGCATTCCAACTTTTGCGCTTGAACAAAAGACAGGAGATAAGTAATGGATATAGATTTTAGTTTGCCGTGCACCAATTCTACCATACTTGTGCAACTTTCAGTCAGTCAGCAACAATGTAGTACTACGTACGTATGTACGTACATCAGTTCAAGTTGCCATACAACATTAAAACCCAGATACAATTGTCGATTCAAATTCCATAGTGGTAGAGGTAGTAAATGTATAAGCAGTAATCGGAAAGATTAGGGTTTGAAGATGTTATTCAAGGAGTATAATCCAGTGAAATAAATTCGGAAAGAGAAAAAAGGACATGAAGAATTCAGAAGATTAGAAATGAGAACACAAAGAGCGAATGCACCTGCGCCATATCATTCAAGGTCTCTAACCATCGGTTGCTATCGTCTCGCGGATCCCAACCAGGTAGCCTACACCTACCAACATGTCTCAGTTCACTTGCCAGTGACTTCATGGATTTGTGCTATGTTTTGTTCTAGCCGCTCCTAGCTTTCTTCCAACCTACTCCTACACCATAAAACATCGCACGCCGGGGCAATCGGTAGTTGGACACACGTAACACGTGTCCCAACCATCTCAAGTTTCACTACTTCATCAATTGATTTTCCATCCTTACCTAGTACCTGTTTTCTAACAACTGCATTACTTACCCGGTGGTCCCAGGATATACGAGCAATGCTTCGAAAACACCTATGATCGAATACTAGTAACCTAATAATATCCTGTACTCTCACCGGCCCCGTTTCACTGCCATAAAGTAGGACGGAACGAACTGCTGCACAGTACACCCATTCTTTAGTTGGTAGACGGATATCTCACCTACGCCTTAAATGACGCAAGTTGGCAAAAGCTAGTTAAGCCTTCTGTATCCGTGCTGAGATTCAACCGCTGGAAATTTAGATAAGGAAAGTGTTATCTCTAAAAGCACGTCAACGACAAATTCAAACAAGAGTAGAGAGAATGGACAGTCCTGACGAACACCACTTGAGGTAATCAATTCTGATGACAGTTCGCCATAAGCTCTCACTCTACCAGTTGTGTTCGAGTAGAGAGCCTGTATGAGGTTAATGTACTTCTTTGGTACTCCTTTCGGTGGTGAACTGCTACAGAACCTCACGATCGAAGCTGCTACCTTGACGCGGTGGTCGGGCTTGCCTATCGTGATGACCCAACCGAGCTATATTGGCTGGAACAGATGTTCCTGCAGGTTCTACCATGCCAGGCAGGTCGATTGGTGAACGGTAAGACTAAAAGCAGCAACTCAAGGTCTGAGGGCGAAGTCGTACTGCTGACTGTAGAGGGGTGTGACAGCCGTAAGGTGTTTCCCTCAGACATCCAGCATGACAGCGATGCTGCCTTCCCACAAGGAGGGGTGGGGTTAGAAAAGGTCGACCCTAAAAATGTCACACCTCACCTTACCTCACGGATTTCCGTCTCCGGCGGTAAGGCCCTTCGAAGAACGGAGCTAACACGTCAAAAATCTTCCACAAAAAGGCCGTGCGCGACCGGCCTCAAGCAGTTGTCCCTTGGGCTCTGCGGTCACGCTCCCAGGTCGTCAAGACCAACACTAATCCAATTTCCTTTTCATGTTCCTCAAGAAATACCCTTCCACGGTGTGGGCAGCCGGGAAGTGATATCAGCCCTCATACCCGTAACAGCACAAGAGACCAAGGTGGTCACATTCAAATCTTCCCTACACCTTCTAATACCTCTCTTATCTCCCCGACTAACCCTCCCCACGTCTCTTTATCACCTCGCACCGCTAGGGCAAACGATTCGAGTACGTGGAACGCCATTTCTGGTCTCCTGAAACCACGCTCTAAACTACACGTAGGAGCTTTTAACGTACGAACACTTTGCCAAATAGGACAGCAGGCTTTCTTAGCTAAAACTTTAGAATCTCGCGCCATCGATGTGTGCTGCGTCTCCGAAACGCGCATACAGGATCCAAGTAGCGTCATTCATTTGACCTCACCATGCCAAAATAAAGAACCGACTCGATTTACGCTTCGTGTATCTGGGAGCCCTGATTCTGCTTCCCGTGGCCTCGCCGGCGTAGGTATAGCATTGAGTCCTAGGGCAGAACTAGCTCTCTTAGAGTGGATCCCAGTAGACAGTCGTTTGTGCGCTGTCCGACTGAACGGAACAGTAAGAATCCGGAAAGATAGGGACACTCGTCGTTGCCTCTTCGTCGTCTCTGCCTATTCTCCCACTGACTGCAGCTCAGATGATGTAAAAGATGAGTTTTACAGAAAGCTTTCGGACCTTCTCCGAAAAGCTAGGCGCTCGGATGTAGTATTGGTGACCGGTGACTTGAATGCTCAAGTAGGTAAACTAAGCGATAGGGAAAGACACCTAGGTGGATCTTATGGTGTCGTGGCTCAAAGAACAGATAATGGCGACCGTCTGTTGCAGCTATGCTCAGATAACCGACTGTTCCTTGCAAATACTAACTTTAAGCATAAGGAAAAACATCTTTTAAAATGGCGACCCCCTAATTCGTCCCAACGTTGGACCCAAATAGATCACATCGCTATCAGCCACCGATGGAGGAGCTCGATAGAAGACTGTCGCTCATTCTGGAGCACATGCTTAGATTCAGATCATGCTCTAGTGCGAACGCGTATTTGCTTGCGTCTTACTGGACGTAGGAAAGACGCTGCAAGTAAACCTCTTAGGGGCCTACTTAATGATAGTCAAGCTAAGAGTATATTTCAGGAACAACTAGGAAAACAGTTAGGCAGCCATGTATGTGATGCCCACCCCGATGCAGCATGGAATGATATCCGAAAAGCTGTGGAAACAGCAGTGATATCTGCTAGTAAGGTAAACCAGAAGGTTAGGGAGCAACACTGGATCTCAGCAGCATCTATCGCACTGATAGATGCTCGGAAACTCATTCCACCTGGCTCTGAACATAATGAAGAGCGGAGTCAGCTTAAGCGCAAGCTGACCAGAAGCCTACGCAATGATCGCGAACAGTGGTGGGTAGCGAGAGCAAGAGAGATGGAAAAGACAGTGGCAATAGGTAATAGCAGACAATTGTTCAGACTCGTTAAGGAAACCGGTATTAGGAAACCGACTATTAGCGAAACACTCTCAGAGAAAGATGGACATATTATTCATTCTCAATCCAGGAGATTGGATCGATGGGCAGAACACTTTAGGGATCAGTTCAACTGGCCTTCAGCCACACTTCGGTTTCCCACGATCTCTAGTCAACCTGAATGGCAAGTTAATGTAGGCCCTCCGTCTCTTTACGAAGTTGAAAAAGCCATAGGAAATCTGAAACGAGGGAGAGCAGCAGGCCCTGACAGGTTTACTCCTGAGATTTTTAAGGATGGTGGTCCAGTATTAGCAATGAGATTAACCGAGGTCTTAGGTAGAATTTGGGAACTGGACGTAATCCCATCTGACTGGTCTCAATCACTGATTGTGCCAGTCTATAAGAAAGGACAAAAGTCCTCCTGTGACAATCACAGAGGAATCAGTTTGACTAATCTAGTGTCTAAAATATTAGCTTCAATAATACTTCGACGCCTAATCAAAGCTCATGAAGAGCAGACTAGAGAAAATCAGGCTGGTTTTCGACCTGGACGTGGTTGTATAGATCAGATATTCACACTACGTCAGGTTCTAGAACACAGGCACACATTCAGACGCCCCACAATGGTAGTATTTCTCGACCTTAAGGCGGCATTCGACTCTGTTGATCGTGAGGTTCTATGGCAGTGTTTGTCACTGAAAGGAGTACCAAAGAAGTACATTAACCTCATACAGGCTCTCTACTCGAACACAACTGGTAGAGTGAGAGCTTATGGCGAACTGTCATCAGAATTGATTACCTCAAGTGGTGTTCGTCAGGGCTGTCCACTCTCCCCATTCTTGTTCAACTTTGTCGTCGACGTACTTTTGGAGGTAACACTTTCCTCGTCTAGATTTCCAGGGGTTGAACTTCTACCTGGGAGCTTCACTTGTTGACTTAGAATATGCTGATGACATAGTTTTATTTGGTGAAGACACTGACAAAATGCAGAGTCTTCTGACCACTCTAAGCAACAATGCAAGCATGTTCGGGATGCGATTCTCTCCCTCGAAATGCAAAATGTTGCTTCAGGATTGGGTTGCATCGACACCCGAACTAATGATAGGGAGTGAAGTAGTTGAGCGTGTCGACCGCTTCACGTATCTTGGAAGTCTCATCAGCCCTTGTGGTTTGGTGTGTGATCAAATCTCAGCAGATACAGAAGGGTCGACTAGCTTTTGCCAACTCGCGTCATCTAAGGCGTAGGCGAGATATCCGTCTATCAACCAAAGGACGTGTTTACTGCGCAGCAGTTCGTTCCGTCCTACTTCATCGCAGTGAAACGTGGCCGGTAAGAGTAGAGAATATTCGTAGGTTACTAGTATTTGATCATAGGTATTTTCGAAGCATTGCTCGTATATCCTGGGACTATCGAGTAAGTAACGCAGTTGTTAGGAAACGGGTACTAGGTAAGGATGGAAAATCAATTGATAAAGTAGTGAAACTTCATCAGTTGAGATGGCTGGGACACGTGTTACGTATGCCCAACAACCGACTGCCTCGACGTGCTATGTTCAGTGGTATAGGAGTAGGTTGGAAGAAAGCTCGGGGCGGCCAAACCAAAACATGGCACAAGTCCATGAAGTCACTGACAAGTGAACTGAGTCATGTTGGTAGGTGTAGACTACCTGGTTGGGGACCGCGAGATGATAGCAACCGATGGTTAGAGACCCTGAATGACATGGCTCAAAATCGTTTGCAATGGCGCAGGTGCATCCACTCTCTGTGTTCTCTCAAATTCTAATCTTCTGAATTCTTCATGTCCCTTTTTTCCTCTTTCCAAATTTATTTCACTGGATTATACTCTATAAATAACATATCCAAACCCTAATCTTCCCGATTACTGCTTATACTCTTATTACCTCTACCACTATGGGATTTGAATCGACAACTGCATCTCTGTGCTAATGTGGTGTGGCAACTCGAACTGATGTACGTACGTACGAAGTTCTACGTTGTTACTCACTGACTGACTGACAGAACCTCACGATCGACAGGGTCAAATGCCGCCTTAAGGTCGAGGAATACTACTACTGTGGGGCGTCTGAATGTGTTTATGTTTTAGGACCTTATGTAGCGTGCCACTTTAGTTTCGTCAGTAGACTTCACCAATCCTCGACATTAATAGCACCTCGTTATATCGACCAAGTTAATAAATTTGAAAAATACCGACAATCGCGGGGTGCAGTGACAGACCGAATAACGATTGAAGTGTGAATTTTGTGTACAGATAGAAAATTAACTGATGCAAAGCACTAGTACTCGTGATGTTTATTACAATTAAAAATAAATGGGAATTGCGACAATATGGCTGTCGTTCACCCGTGGACTGTCGGTAAATACAGCAAGTTGGTAGACTAAGCTTTGCGAACATTATATCAATATTTATTCAATTGCACGGAACTATGGTTAGAAATTACGTTTATGGTTAATCAGCGAGAAGTACTGATGAAAAAAACAACGACCTCCTATCCCAAAAGATCTACTGGAGTAAACTACATCAGTTAATTCACTTCCACAATCATATTTCTTAGGGTCCCGTTGGACAGTTAGCTTTTTGGTTGTTTTTGGATTTCATTTCACTTATTCAGAAGTCGGATCAAGAATGTAAGTGTTAAGAATGACTACCGGACAACTAATGAGATCTAATAGGATGATTTTAACAGTAAATGTATGTCTTCCAAATCAGTGATCGTGACTGTCCCACACTCAAAAGAAAGGTATTCCGCATGTCTTATCTTAAAAGTTCCCATCTTGCCATGAGTGCTTTTCTGCTACCAAACTAATGAAACCAATTCTTTTGGCTGGTTGAATACACTATTAAGGAAAACTATGTAAGGAAATCTGACTGAAATAAACTACTTTCCTTCGTTTTTCATTTCTGTAAATCATGTTGTATGTAAGATCCAAACCAACCGGATTGAAATCAGTGATAAAGGCAAAAAATCTTATGGAGTTTGTTGTAAATCAGTACAGAAAAGTACACGATATTATAAAGTGAAAGTTAATGAACTGACTGTAATGCATACTATGACATACCGAACTACTCAGTAATAATATTCATCTTAATACCAACACTGGTATAAACAAGCGCCCAAATATATACATATATATATATATATGCACTACACAAATCCAATGATTTGTGTAGGCTAGCATACTGCATGGGTGCCGAAACCGAAGCAGGTGGCTTTCTTAAGAGACCACTCCCTGAGCCTCAGGCCTAGAGGTCTTATCCACAAAGCAGTGAAGCGATGTCAGATGTGGCTCCATGGAGCCAGTGGACAATAATACGTTTATACGCCATTTGTCCCTTCAAAATCCTGGAGGTCACGTTCACCATTGATTCGGAATTAGGATTTTCCAACTAATCTAGGTGTATTCTTTATACCCATCACATCGAGTTAGGCTTCACTTTACGCCTATGCTCCACTGAGTGACAGGCGCAAGTAATTCTGTGAATACCTCCACCGCTAGAAAGTAATAAATAGGGCATTTCTGGTAGCCGGTATATACACGTGGCCGTATGAGAGCATTTCGAGGGAGAACAGACTTTCCTCACGCTCGGCCGTATAAGAGTATTTAGGTGCTTAGGGCTATTCAGGCTGTTATAAAAAGAGCTTATGTGACCTGTAGACTAGAAATTAGTCAGGAATCTTAGCGTACTAACTTTATTCGCGATATATTTTAACGACGTACCTGGGTGCACAACTTCGTTTGCGGTGTCGCCTTGAAGGACTATGTTCACGACTCCTCGATTGACGTTTACCATCAATAATGTAGCTAGGTGATGGAGATACAACCATAGAGTTCTTTTTTGTTTCGATAGTGAGTTGAACCCCATCTTTTACTGTAGCAGCATTCTTAGTTTCCTCCTGAGAAAAGAAACAAGCTATCATACAGACCTAAATTCACAAAACACTAAAAACACACTTCGAAATTTGTTTAAAAAACAATCACCATTGCAATGACTCACCAATTAATTAACTACAACTTTCGGTGGTTCTTATGACACCATTAGGCCTTGGCAGAACGGAATTCAGACACCAGAGTCATCTGAACTGAACATCGAAGGTCCGAACGGCATAGGGACTGTTATTCACTGTGAGCAATGAGTGAAGTTATAAAAGCAAAGAAGTTGTAATGTATTGCTAAATGTACGCGCAAATACTACAAGTATCGAACACGACTTCGAAACTTGTTGGCAATCGATTTGAATGGTGAAAAAAGAATCCAATCGAACGACAATGACAGATCCACAAACGTTTACATTCCCTATGGTTAGTGAATGAACTCTCACGATATCGATCTATCACCATGAGTCATGAACTAAATCAAATTAAACGCCACTACTTGCACGACAGAAAATGCCGCAACAATGACTGTTAGTCTGGTAAATTGGTTTCGAAATTCAGAGTAATGGAAACGTCACGTGTTTAACACGGGACAAACCATGCCTCTTTTATGAGACAGCTACACTCGATACGTTTCAAAGCCGAATACGAGTCATGCCTTGGACACCTTAGTTAATAGCCTGTTTTACTAAATATATTACACTGCTCTGCAAGAATAAGACAGGGAAGGTTAAGAGAACCAAATAACCAAATGGTTCTATTATCTTTGAGCAATGAAACCCGGACTTCTAGTAAAGACCAAACAAGAGCTATTCTAAATCACTTTCGTCCTGAAAGTATTATCTATTAACTAGTGTTATCAAATATCCACTCATATTCAATGTTACTATTCACTTAGCAACTTTATTATGCATTTTGAACGCGTATTACCTGGGATATCAAAGGGCTCTTTGAACTCCTTCGTGTCTCTTCAACACTCCCATCATCCGAAGACTGCTGTTAGGACAACGATTATAAAGCTTAATGGTAAAAATTGTACTAACCAATGAAGAATCATAGTCACAAAGCATCGCACTCGGTTCCGCCATTTAATAACCAACACATTAAAACAATACGCTAACACCTATACCACAAGACATAAAGAACTAGTTTATCGACCCCAAGACCTTTTCTGGTTTCAAGATATATCCAACCATTTGAATGATAAGAGAACAAAATGCGTTCTTGAGGGTAATCATTTGATATTGTACGGACACGTGGTGAGTCTACTCGTTCAGGTATGATCAAAATACGGGGGAAGAAGGGGACAAAATAATTGGTTTAGTTTAGGGTAGATGATTGTGTTTCAGTAGTGGTTTGTATTTGTTGGAATCAGGACATAAATCATATGTACGACTCGATTAAATCATGAGAATTGACCTAGAAGTAGTTATTCCGATAAAATTAGGTCAGGGCTCCAACTCAACTGGCTTCCAAATAGCAAGAACTCACAATCACTAATATTGTTTCAACCGACAGAACTTTATAGTTAATGCATCATTAATTTATTATAATCAATGTTACATGAAATGATTTCTCGTGTAGCGGTTAATAATTCCCTGAAATAAATATTCCTGTAAGTCTTCGACATTTGATGCTGACTGCATTACTTTTACTGGACTCACCTAGCTGAAGGCGGTTGGTCACGCATCCACACCAGATTATGGCCGTGTACGCCATGATATACATCCCTTTCGACTGTTAGCCAGCTTAGAACAAGCTTTCCTCGATATACCGATAACCTATATATATTCAAACGCCTTTATTTCCGACTTCTGATTTGACTGGGTTGGCGTACTTCGAATGTAAAGGTTTTGCTGGTAAAGAAGTTTCCGAACTCCGAATACCTGTGGGATCTTTAGAGGTGAGACAAACGTGATCTGATACAGCATTTCTTAGATTATGAGTCTGTTCCTGGTTGAAACACTACGTATGATTTTTTGGTTGTTGTTTTTTATATATTGTGATATTTTTTTGGTAGTCTAGAACATTTTCTCACCATGACGGGACAGACTCCTAGAATGCTTAAGATCAAGACTTTCGCCTCCCTCATTTCATCTAGTGCTACTTTGGCCCGTTAACATAGAAGACAGGTTCTGCTACGCAGAAGCTGACTTCCACGAGCATGGCGGATCAGACCCACGTACGCAATTCCTCGTAGTAGTGAATACACTAGTGCGCGATTTCAACAGGTATATCACACTTATTATGTTTACCAGTGATGTTTCGGGACCTTACGAAACTTTAGAAAAGATTATTCTTATGAATGGAGATCCAATTGACTGACAAATATTAGACCAGCCCTGCCACAATGTCAAACTAAAACGTGGCTGAGCAACAGAAATGTTGCTGCTAATGCGCCTGCATGAACATCGATTAGTAGTCAAGCGCCATGACATGCTCTCACTTATATCAATCCACGTGGATAACTGCGGACACACATTCGACTAGAAAAGTGTGGGGTTTTTGGACAGAGGAAATCTCGAAAACGGCAGAGAATTTCTAATATCTAGACACTCAGGTCAATCAACAATGAAATAGCACATTAAAATCGATCCAATTTATCAACCAGTCAGAAAAATTATGCACAAACATAGGAACAAAAATCAAACTAATAGGATATACAACCAAAACAAAGAGGTAAACAATAACAGGTTTAAGGTAAACAAGAACCAATCAGCATCGAGATTTACAGAAAAAGCTGCGAACCATATGTGGAGAAATTCGAACACTTTACTTCTAACCGAAGTTTATGCTGATGATGTTGTTCAGAAGAACGATCAAAGCTCTACGACCAAACCATCCAACTCAGAGAACAAAATTCCAGCAAAAACCACTATGCAGGTCGCGAAGATTAATTAGGGGAGCAAAAACGATCACATGTCTTATCTAAGCGACGGAAATTCTGGTTTAAACATCTGGTGGATACTGGTACGTTGCTTAGTATCATCTCTTAGTAAAAAACTGAAATGAGTCAGCAAACGTCGCCAATTTTCCAACAGAACTAAAATTGCAATATTCAAGAAAGTGATCATGGTACTGTAAAGAATCTAAAATTGGTAATATTTGGAAGGACTTTTTAGAGATATGCATTCCTATTCGACACAAAGAAACGCGGTTCGACACTTAAAAATATTTTCGGTTACTCAGTATATATAAAGTCACATCATTCCTTTCAATTTGAAATAGACCACAACGTTAGCAACTGCAAATTAACAAGATTTACTCTCGGAATTACCAAGTTTGATTAAACTAAATCTTCACCGTTCCACAGTAGACCAGAAGTAACTCACTATCAGAACTGGAAGGGTGACTGTACCTGCAAGACCCCGGGGACCAGTAACAAATAACTTGAAGTCCCAGGAGTGGAACTCCACTAACAGCTGCAGTTGGCTTCCTTTCGTCATTATTAATCTTTTCTCGGAAAGACTTGCCGCTGCACAGATGGGATATCACTCTTTCTGATGGCGACTTACTACCATTTACTTAGCCATCGAACATTTCAGACACATATTGAGCGGCAGACAATTCATTGTTCCCATTGTCCACAAACCATAAACAAATGGATCGAAAGCTTAAACAGATTAATATTCGCCTCGAGAAATCCAAAACGTCTACTGTGTATCTCAGTTCACTAGTGAAATATGATATTTCAAAAATAAGGTTAATTGGGTAACGGATGTACCATCTAGATTTGATATGAATATAATACAACAATCGTTTATAACTTTTGGAGGTTCAGGACACAACCAGGAGGAAAATTAGTGGTTATAAACTCTACTCCCAACAAAGCACTCTATTGTAGAGCTGAAACGACCACCATCACTCAATGCGGATAATTTGATCTATGGTGATACGACTAAAACAATATAATTACTCTTCGTGCCTAAAATCATGAGAAAATTCGTAGTTTATAGGCACTTACATCATGACAAATCTATACATATTATTAGAGCAGAACTAATAAAAAAGTGTGCCATAAATTTACAAGTCTGTTGCTGAGTTCCGACGATGTTAATCATTCATTTACATGAGTAGAAAGATGCACGAGTTTGCTGAGTTGATAACGGAAATATTGACCAAAGCTTCGATACAGAACTGAGTGACCAATTTTGGTACACCTATTGCAATAACGACTAATAAAGGAGTCTGAGCTTTTCAGAAACTGGATGGATTTAAACCCACCAATTCTACGTAGATCTAGTGTTTCGCCTAGTGTAATAACGGTCATGTATACGTTCAGGTAGCAATAGAATTTGTTATATTATGATGTATTTTTTTATTAAAGAACTAGATTACGCTGTCAATTTTGCTCTGGTCTTAATTTTCATTTGCCATGTCCGACTGAGTTACGCCGGACGTTCATTTCTAGCTGGAATGGTATCCTAAGTCATAGTAAGTTTCAGTCAGTCAGTGAGTAACAACGTAGAACTTCGTACGTACGTACATCAGTTCGAGTTGCCACACCACATTAGCACAGAGATGCAGTTGTCGATTCAAATCCCATAGTGGTAGAGGTAATAAGAGTATAAGCAGTAATCGGGAAGATTAGGGTTTGGATATGTTATTTATAGAGTATAATCCAGTGAAATAAATTTGGAAAGAGGAAAAAAGGGACATGAAGAATTCAGAAGATTAGAATTTGAGAGAACACAGAGAGTGGATGCACCTGCGCCATTGCAAACGATTTTGAGCCATGTCATTCAGGGTCTCTAACCATCGGTTGCTATCATCTCGCGGTCCCCAACCAGGTAGTCTACACCTACCAACATGACTCAGTTCACTTGTCAGTGACTTCATGGACTTGTGCCATGTTTTGGTTTGGCCGCCCCGAGCTTTCTTCCAACCTACTCCTATACCACTGAACATAGCACGTCGAGGCAGTCGGTTGTTGGGCATACGTAACACGTGTCCCAGCCATCTCAACTGATGAAGTTTCACTACTTTATCAATTGATTTTCCATCCTTACCTAGTACCCGTTTCCTAACAACTGCGTTACTTACTCGATAGTCCCAGGATATACGAGCAATGCTTCGAAAATACCTATGATCAAATACTAGTAACCTACGAATATTCTCTACTCTTACCGGCCACGTTTCACTGCGATGAAGTAGGACGGAACGAACTGCTGCGCAGTAAACACGTCCTTTGGTTGATAGACGGATATCTCGCCTACGCCTTAGATGACGCGAGTTGGCAAAAGCTAGTCGACCCTTCTGTATCTGCTGAGATTTGATCACACACCAAACCACAAGGGCTGATGAGACTTCCAAGATACGTGAAGCGGTCGACACGCTCAACTACTTCACTCCCTATCATTAGTTCGGGTGTCGATGCAACCCAATCCTGAAGCAACATTTTGCATTTCGAGGGAGAGAATCGCATCCCGAACATGCTTGCATTGTTGCTTAGAGTGGTCAGAAGACTCTGCATTTTGTCAGTGTCTTCACCAAATAAAACTATGTCATCAGCATATTCTAAGTCAACAAGTGAAGCTCCCAGGTAGAAGTTCAACCCCTGGAAATCTAGACGAGGAAAGTGTTACCTCCAAAAGTACGTCGACGACAAAGTTGAACAAGAATGGGGAGAGTGGACAGCCCTGACGAACACCACTTGAGGTAATCAATTCTGATGACAGTTCGCCATAAGCTCTCACTCTACCAGTTGTGTTCGAGTAGAGAGCCTGTATGAGGTTAATGTACTTCTTTGGTACTCCTTTCAGTGACAAACACTGCCATAGAACCTCACGATCAACAGAGTCGAATGCCGCCTTAAGGTCGAGAAATACTACCATTGTGGGGCGTCTGAATGTGTGCCTGTGTTCTAGAACCTGACGTAGTGTGAATATCTGATCTATACAACCACGTCCAGGTCGAAAACCAGCCTGATTTTCTCTAGTCTGCTCTTCATGAGCTTTGATTAGGCGTCGAAGTATTATTGAAGCTAATATTTTAGACACTAGATTAGTCAAACTGATTCCTCTGTGATTGTCACAAGAGGACTTTTGTCCTTTCTTATAGACTGGCACAATCAGTGATTGAGACCAGTCAGATGGGATTACGTCCAGTTC